TTTGCATTTCGTGAGCGTCTAAATGGTCTGACAGGGTGTTTAGTTGGGTCTGTACCTGTCCCCTATTTTCCTCCAGGCCTTGGATACGGAGGCCTATCTGCTGGATTTCAGATCCCAATCCCTCCATCTTGCGAAAGTTTCCAATTTCTCCAGCATTGCAGTTAGGTCTGCCTTGGAGGGCAGATTTCTGAGCAGCTCATTGATGTCTTGGTCTGCAGATACTGCTGATGTCTCGGAGGCAGCAGGGCTGGGTGGATTGGAGAGGTGTTCTCCCGGCGTCGGTGCCATTTTTGTCCCGCCATGCGGCTGGAATAATCCTTGAAGATCTTAGAAACCGAGCCCGGTTTCTCTGCAGGTGCTTTCCCGCTGCTTGCGTGGGTGCTCTGCGACCTTTTGGGGTTCTCCATTTTCGTTAGCACAGTTTTCAGCCTGTTTTATTGCCTGCTTCGCCGGAGCCGAGTTATCATGCAGCTATTTCCTCCGACGGTCGGCCACGCCCCCTCACCTGCAGTAGGATTTACTGGCTTCTATCGTTCTGGAAAACCGCAGAGTAATCTAGTAAACACAGATTCCGTTGTGGTTTGAGGGATTTCCTCTTTTACTCAGAACGAAAGCCTTTTTAATAGTGCCTTCAAACCTAGATCAGTTTGTTTATCAAATAATCCACTGTTAATGATACAGCTGTATTTGTGTGTAAACCATCATATCGCAATACATTTTCGAAATTGTGTATCTTTCTGTACGTTACGCTTTGCGGTGAGAGCCGATTCAATTCTGTGTTTCTGCATCAAAAGCCAATTTCTGAAAATAACTTTTTATTTTTTTTATTTTTTTTGCAGGATCGGGTCATACAACGTATGCGAAGATAATGAGAAAAGAACTTTATTATGTCTATGATAATATTGTTATTACTGTTGCAACAATTCTGCATAAGGTTTCTTTAAAAATAAATATATACGCAGAATCAACAACACAGAGCAACATAACAAGACAGAGCCAGGGGATCTTTATTTTTGTGCCACAGAAGATGTCCTACCATACAATCTGCATGCCAGTCAGCAGGGAATACAGATGGTAATGGTATTATGTTAATTGTGATAAGGTTTTTCCAAACCCCCTCCCTGATGTTCCCACCCAGTTCTACACTTCTCTTGTTTGTTTTATTTCCCACCCAATCTAATAAAGACCACCCACAAAATGTAATAAAAGTAACCAGGTGCAGAGTGTCTTCTTATATCAGATGATCCTCCAACCTTGTGACCCCTGCTAACAAGTCTGGGAGAGGGAGATCTAGAGGAGTGCAAGCTGAGCTTTTTGAGCAGATGTGATTTGTCTGTTCCTGCCATCACTGAATTTCTCCTTGGAGCAACACTGTAGCAATTAGTGGGAGGAAAAGCTAACGCCACATTGGATACATTTGTAATTAGTTACTGTTACTTTACTACGATTAAATGTCACTTAAAGCTAAATTATCAATTTCTGCCAAAGTGTGATCTTACATTGGTGGCACATACCCAAACCTGGGCGGGCTATTCACTGTATTAATCAGACCATGCTGCACACCCAGAGGTGAAATTGGACTGTTCTGGAGAAACTCCATTTTGGGGCTAAAACATTTGTAGAGTAAGCGGACAGTAAATTTGGTGATTGTAACTTTGTAGCTAAAGTTACTCCCATTTAAAGAAGGGTGCCACAAATATTAATATTAGTGAATTATATTTTTGTTTGGGCCATGGAGACCCCACATTACAGAATATAAAGAGAGACAGTGTAACTGAGTGGCACTATATGAGATATGTGTATATAAATATATATATAGACACACACACTCACTCACTCTCTCTCGAATGGACGGTTATTCGTTATATCGAGCTCCTTACATTCCAAATATTTCTTGTAGCCTGTTTCGTGTCGGTCTTTATTACTTCCACTTGACCAATACTGGGATGGTTTCCAAATTTAGAGTAAACACAATTTTTGTTTTGTTCCTTGCTCAGGAGAAAGCTGTTTTCATCATAAGATTGAATTTTCACAAGCACATCCTACAGTCATAGACCATGTGAAAAACCACTCCCAACACTTTCCTTATAACGTTCACAGGTTAACCTGTTTGCGGAGGTTGTGATTAATACAAAATGCATTTTAAGATTGTTAGCTCAACGCTTTCCCATATTCTACTAAATAATTCACCGCTTTTTTGTTTGTTTACATAAAAACAAATAAAACACCCTTATAACTCAAACTTAAGGAAAGAGAACGCTACAAAACAAAACAAAAACATGACTGATCCAGTGAGAACCCAAACCTCTTTACACACATCCACAACTTGAATAGAGTTTTACGTTGGTGACAAAAGAATTGCTACCTCAAACCGCTAATATTGCTTTTCAGAGTTAGTTTGAATTTAATGTTCTGTGTTTACAAAAAACAATAAGTATTGATTTTGGAATTGTAAAAATAATATCCGGAAGTATTACTTTAATGAGAGGGTAGTGGATGCATGGAATAGCCTTCCAGCTAAAGTGGTTAACACAGTAAAGGAGTTTAACCCCTTAAGGACACGACATGTGTGACATGTCTTGATTCCCTTTTATTCCAGAAGTTTGGTCCTTAAGGGGTTAAGCATGCGTGGGATAGGCATAAGGCTATCCTAACTATAAGATAAGGCTAGGGACTGATGAAAGTATTTAGAAAATTGGGCAGACTAGATGGGCCGAATGGTTATCTGCCGTAACATTCTATGTTTCTATGTTTGTAAGTGACAACTGGCAAAATTGGCAAATAATTCTGCATAACCTACCATTTCCTATCATAACCAGTAATGTAGTAAATGTTGGGGTTCTCACAGTACTCCCTCTCAGGTCTGCACTCATATAACTGACCCATCTGATGTATCCTCTAACAAATAAATAAGTCCTCACTGAGAATTGTCCGTGGTGCTGACAAGTTAGCATACAGGAGGCCAATATTGGAAAGAGGTTTCTGGCAGGTTTCATGATTTGAAAATTATGGTTGTAAGAGATACAGGATTATTCACAAAACAGGAGAATTTAAAGTGAATTTTAAGATTAAAGTAAAAATAAGTGAATTGGAAAATTTTCTAAGTCAGCTATTCTTTCATTTCAGCTTTAGTCTGGCATGAAATTCACTTTGACCTCATTGTGAATTTTCACTTTAATAAGTAGTCATGTTAGAGTTATGGTTCTCTCTAAATCTCTAGATCGGACGCAAAGTCACCAAATCAACTCTTGGATTCAAACACATATTAACTTTAAAGAAAGCCAGTCATTATTAAAGCAATTGTTAAGAAGGGACAGTCCTTTCTCATTTTATACATTATTTATAACTAACTATAATCACTGGAGAATATAAAATTACTAATGATTACTGAAGTGGACCCCTGGTAACCAAACCGGTTACCTCTGCTAATTCCTTACCTTCAGCCACTCAGGAACCACTCAGAGTGTAACGGGACCCATTTCCCCCCAGTAAATGGACAACACACAGTTCTGGAGGTACAACACAATTTTATTGGCCACACACAGCTTTTATGCATACCCTGTGCAAGAGGTGGATCACACACACATACAAAGATACATCCCACAATCCTCCCCCACCTCGAGGTACCAGCTCATGAAGGGACTCCGTTCCCTTTGTCCCCAAAGCCCACCACTAAATCCCCAGGTTTCCCCACACCAACTACCAGGGGTCTTCTACTCAAGAGCCTCTGTGCCTGGGATTCCTGGCGCAGGAAAAAGGGACCGTCCTTTGTCTCACAGGCACAGAAAAGCTGGTCTCTTTGTCCCTCTGGCTCCCCTGCCAAAACTCGCCAGTGTCCCAGAAGTGCCCACACCAATCTCAGGGATTCTTGCCTCGGTCCCTCGCTTCTCTAGGCTCAGTTCGTGAGGTCTTGGTGTGAAACCCAGACAAGAGAAGCGTCTCCTTTTGGGGTATGAATGCTCCACCTGGATTGCATTCGTCTGTACGCATGGCGGCCACCCAGGGAAACACTCATTATTACTTCCCTTATGGTTTCACACCTATGTTGCAGGTGCAAATAAAATAATTGGTGTGAACGTTCTAATGGCGCACCGGGGAGGCCCTCGTTCCGGATATGAGCGAGTCGGGAAACAATCCACAAATGCTCCCCCTGGTGGCGTTCGCCTGTTCGAATGGCAGCTACCCAGGGGAGCACTCATTAATTGTTTCCTTTGTGGTTTGCGGTTTTTGACAGGTGACTGGGAGGTGTGAACATTCTATACTAACATTTTAAATGAGGTATTGTGGTGGTCCCTGTTCGGGTGATGAATGAATCCCCTTAGTGGGAGTGGGCATAACATATGAAAATACAGGGAAAATATATGTGAAAGAGAGAGGAAATCGATGAACAGGCAGTGTGTCTGCCACAATTACAAATTATTCACATTTACATAGATGTGGCACTCTCTAAGAAACAACACCATATTCTTCGTTTACAAATCTTAACATTCCTGACAAATTATAGCTGGTTTTAATATATCATGCTCAATTCAGTAACAGGTCCCCAATGCATTGATACAGTACTTATTCTGGATGGAAAACAAAGCTTACCTCCAAAATGGACCTAGTCAACCTTCATTTTCAATCTCTCCAACCTCTCACAATTTCTTCAACCTCCACCCAACCTCCATTCAATCTCTTCAACCTCCATCCAACCTCGATTCAATCTCTTCAACCTCCATTCAATCAATCTCTCCAACCTCCATTCTATCTCTTCAAGTTCTATCCAACCTCTACTCAATCTCTCCAACATCCATTCAACTTCCATAAGTTTCATTCAATCTCTCCAGTCCCCATTCAATCTCTCCAACCCCCATCCAACCTCGACTCAATCTCTCCAACATCCATCCAACCTCCATTCAATTTCTCAAAGCTCTATCCAGCCACCAATCCAGCTCTCCAGCCTCCATCCAACATCAAAGCTTTATCCAACCTCCATTCCATATCTCCAACCTCCATCCATGCAATCTCTCAAAGCTCTATCCAGCCTCCATTCCATCTCTCCAACCAACCTCCATTCCATCTCTCCAACCTCCATCGAGCATTCATCAAAGCTATCCAAACTCCATTCTATCTCTCCAAGCTCTAACCAACCTCCATTCAATCTCTCCAATCTCCTTTCAATCTCTCAAACCTCCATCCAACCTCCATTCAATTCAAGCTCTATCCAAGCTCTATTCAATCTCTACAAGCTCTATCCAACCTCCATCCACACTCTCCAACCTCTGTACAACCTCCATCCAATCTTTCCAACCTCCATTCAATCTCTCAAAGCTCTATACAGCCACCAATCTATCTCTCCATCTCTCCAACCAACCTCCATTCAATCTCTCCAACCTCGATCCAGCATTCAACAAAGCTCTATCCAACCTCCATCCAATCTCTCCAACCTCTGTACAACCTCCATCCAATCTTTCCAACCTCCATTCAATCTCACCAACCTCCATTCAATCTCTCAAAGCTCTATCCAGCCACCAATCTATCTCTCCATCTCTCCAACCAACCTCCATTCAATCTCTCCAACCTCCATCCAGCATTCATCAAAGCTCTATCCAAACTCCATTCTATCTCTCCAAGCTCTATCCTACCTCCATTCAATCTCTCCAACCTCCATCAAACTTCCTTTCAATCTCTCCAACCTCCATTCAATTCAAGCTCTATCCAACTTCTTTTCAATCTCTCCAATCTCTGTACAACCTCCATCCAATCTCACCAACCTCCATTCCATCTCTCCAACCTCCATCCATGCAATCTCTCAAAGCTCTATCCAACCTCCATTCCATCTCTCCAACCAACCTCCATTCCATCTCTCCAACCAATCTCCATTCCATCTCTACAACCCCCATCGAGCATTCATCAAAGCTATCCAAACTCCATTCTATCTCTCCAATCTCTAACCAACCTCCATTCAATCTCTCCAATCTCCTTTCAATCTCTCCAACCTCCATCCAACCTCCATTCAATTCAAGCTCTATCCAACCTCTATTCAATCTCTACAAGCTCTATCCAACCGCCATCCAAGCTCTCCAACCTCTGTACAACCTCCATTCAATCTCGCCAACCTCCATTCAATCTCTCCAACCTCCATTCAATCTCTCCAACCTCCATTCAATCTCTCCAACCTCCTTTTAATTTCTCAGAGCTCTATCCAACCAGCAATCTCTCCATCTCTCCATCTCTCCAACCAACCTCCATCCAACATTCATCAAAGCTCTATCCAAACTCCATTCTATCTCTCCAAGCTCTATCCAACCTCCATTCAATCTCTATAACCTCCATCAAACCTCCTTTCAATTTCTCCAACCTCCATTCAATTCAAGCTCTATCCAACCTCTATTCAATCTCTCCAATCTCTGTACAACCTCCATCCAATCTCTCCAACCTCCATTCAATCTCGCCAACCTCCATCCAACCTCCATTCAATCTGTCCAACCTCCATTCAATTTCTCAAAGCTCTATCCAGCCACCAATCTATCGCTCCCACCTCCATTCTATCTTCTATCTCTCAAAGCTCTATCCAACCTCCATTATATCTCTTCAACCTCCATCCAACCTCCATTCCATTTCTTAAAGCTATGTCCAACCTTCATTCAATCTCTCTAACCTCCATCCAACCTCCATTTAACCTCTCCAACCTCCATTCAATCTCCTGAAGAGTTGAGATTCCATGTCCATATGACTCTGAAACTTGCAAAAGATTAACTATAAATCTTGAGTAACAATGTAATCCAGAACTGCTTGAAAATACATGCTTGAAAGCCAGCTAAGTGGTCATAATCTGAGGTCAGGAACTTGTAAAACCAAGAAAAGCACTTATAATTCAGCTGAGCACAAATTTCAAGGCAGCATTGTGAGCACGCAGGGTTAGCAACATAAAGCTAGTCAAAATATTAGAGAGCTCACTATGTAGCTAGGACTAACTAAGTTTGCAAGGCCAATAACAAACTGCAAGGACTAATTATATACCATTTTGTCCTTTATCGTGATAATCTGATCATCGGAAACCTTATGCCAACACAGAATGCCCTGGGTACTTAGCATTTGCAGTTGTATAGAGCCATGTTATCACTAAATGAGCGTTTATCACATTCTGGAATATGATACCATAGACTCGGACAGCAGCAGCTTTGAAATAAAAGTAAATAAAATAATACATATGGGACTTCGGTATAGGGAAGATAAACAGAACAGACAAGTAAGCAAGTATCAGAGCAGGGCTTAACATTTCCATTTGCCACTAGCCATTGGCAGGTGAAAATTTAGCCTTGGCCAGCAATTCCCCCCTGGTGTCATTGATAAATTAAATATTTCTATAATTCTCCTATAATCTTCATATAAGAGATCGCTAATCTGCATCCATTCTTAATCCAAACATTTTCCGTATTAAAGATGTAAGCAATCAAAAGACACGTTTTTCCTTTCTGTCATTATTCTCACGCACAGTTCCGAGAAGTATATTTGTTTTATTTGTATATCCATCAAGTCAGTGAGTGACTTTATTCAGATTTTGTGCCAGCTATTTCATACAGAAGTAAGGACCGTTAGGTGTTAAGTGCTTTCGACACCTGCAAATGGCAAACCCTAAAATGACATTTCAAATATTTATAGTGCCACGAAATAGGACTTTAAATGTTTGAGCTGTGAATGTACAGAGCAAATAGGAGAATGGAAATGACTCATCACACAGGCACAAAGTAAACATTGTAAGAAAGGACATGGGCTGAATTTGGAATCCTGCTTCTATGTAAAATATAATACAAGGGACTATTCTTCATTCATTAGCATTGCTGTGCGTGGCTTTTAACAACGCAAGTAAAAAGATTTCTTTGTAGCGAAGATTTAGTCAGTGAATCCTCAAATGATAGTTAGACTAATTCCTTTGATTTCCTGAGATTAATATGAGTTATATGTCCAAAAAAAACCCTAAAGTGGTGTTCCTTTAAACTGCACACTTTTTAGATATTGGCTCTTGAAAGGACAACCAAAGTCACCCAGGCCATTTCATCTAAAAAAATTCCTGTAATTTCAACCCTGCGATGTCAGTAGAGATGCTTCCTAATCTGTCTGCGGGGTCCCAGTCAATCATTTGTATAAGGGATCTACAAAATATTGACAGCAATCCTGGATAAAGGTCCCTCTAACCATGGGCCGCCACCAGGGCCGCCATCAGGGGATGACAACCATGATGGTTGTCACGGGCCCGGCGGTCCGGGGGGGCCGGACAGCTCTGGCAGTCCTGGGACCCACATTCCCTCTCTGCACACATAGATAGCGAATATCGTTATCTATGTGTGCAGCCGCGGGCCCCCGGCTCCCTGTACTTGCAGAGGGGGCCCAGTGGACTGCAAGTGTACTTACAAGCTCTTCCCTCTCTGTAACTCCCGCGAGACCCTCGGCGTGCGTGCTGCGCGAAGCGTTGCCATGGGGCCGCGGGTCTCGCGGGAGTTAGAGAGGGGGAAGAGCTTGTAAGTACACTTGCAGTTCGCTGGGCCCCCTCTGCAGGTACAGGGAGCCGGGGGCCCCACCATGCCACCGGACCACCAGGGATCATGGAATCTCCCCCCTCCCTGAACCAGGTAAGAAACAGGGAGGGGGGAATAAAATTTTTGGAATGCTCCATTTACACTACATGCATACACTACACTAACACACACTCTGCATACACTACACAAACACACACACACACTGCATACACTACACAAACACACACACACACTCCATACACTACACTAACACACACACACACTGCATTCACTACACTAACACACACACTGCATACACTACACACACACTGCATACACTACACTACACACACACACACTGCATTCACTACACTAACACACACACACTGCATACACTACACTGGCACACACTGCATACACTGCACTGGCACGCACGCACACTGCATTCACTACGCACAGCACACACACATGTACACTACACTAACACACATTCTGCATTCACTACACTAACACACACACACTCTGCATACACTACACTAACACACGCTCTGCATTCACTGCACAAACAGTATCTAATACACACAAACACTTCATCCATTACACACATTCTAATTCACTTCCACTATACACACCACATTCAGTCCTGCATCATTTGCGGCGGACTAGGTAGGAGTATTCATTACACCAACTACACTAACACACACACTCTGCATTCACTACGCTAACACACACACACTTTGCATTCACTACACTAACACACACTCTGCATTCACTACACTAACACACACACACACTGCATACACTACACTAACACACACACTCTGCATTCACTAACACACGCAAACACTACACAAACAGTATCTAATACACACAAACACTACATCCATTACACACATTCTAATTCACTTCCACTATACACACCACATTCAGTCCTGCATCATTTGCGGCGGACTAGGTAGGAGTATTCACTACACCAACTACACTAACACACACACTCTGCATTCACTATGCTAACACACACACACACTTTGCATTCACTACACTAACACACACTCTGCATTCACTACACTAACACACACACACACACTCTGCATTCACTACACTAACACACACACACTCTGCATTCACTAACACACGCAAACACTACACAAACAGTATCTAATACACACAAACACTACATCCATTACACACATTCTAATTCACTTCCACTATACACATCACATTCAGTCCTGCATCATTGTCAGCGGACTAGGTAGGAGTCCGGTGGGCGGGCCGGACGGGCCGGGCGGGTGGGGAGAAGGGGGCAGGGGCAGACCTTGTGCTTTGTCAGGGGCCCCAACATTTCTGGTGGCGGCCCTGTCTTACCCTGTCATGTTGGCTGTCCTAGTGTTTCCATAAAACTCATCAAAACTCCCAGAGGACCCTAACAGGACACATCTCATCACTCCATACATGGAGGGGGGAGTTAGGCTAACCATTAACTTATTTAAACTTATCAGGAACTCCAAACCCACTCTGATGGATGAGGTGGTGAAAATATCGGATGTGGTTTCTAGAACTTGTTTGTAATCACAACGCACTCCATGAATATCCACCCAATATACACCCTATAGGGACACCATATGCCGTTACAGATTGGGTCCTTGTGCAAATAAACCCAGGAATTCTTATTTATATTTTATCTAATTTTTTTGCAATTTACCACCAGTCACCGTTTAGTGACTAAACGTGCTCTGATCCACAATTTCAGTTCACTGCTACAACCATCACAGAAGCCTGCAAAGCAAGCATATAGAAACTACTCCCAGCTCGTAACTGTTAGTGCACTAAAAATCAAAGATCACATATCCTGAATGGACTTAATACCATTATGTTCCAATCACGTTACTGTACATTGGATGAGATCAATGAAAGCGGTTTATATAAACTATTTCAGGGGGCATTTTTCAAAGAATATCTTTGTTCATGGAGAATTCTCGTCTCGGCTGCCATACTCTTTCCAATGATAGACTATCTTTGTAAATCCAGAAGAGTCTTATAGGAACCAGGTTACAGTTGCGAAGCAGTTGGATTGTTATCCATTGCACAGTTTCTACATGATAGACAATGTATACACTCCTGGCCTGCGTCAACTCACACTAGATCTATGAAAGTATTTCTTGTATGCAACTGTTCGGAGTATAGAATACGTGTATCGAAGGATTTGGGACTCTGAAATAAATATATTTGCAGAAAGCAAAACAAAACAGCTCTGCGTTTATCACTTAAAATACAACCTTGGTTCCTTGATAACTTGTTTTTTTCACTATAGTTAAGGGTAGGGCAAGCGAGTAATTCTGACTTTCCCCAGTTAACGGAGGGTCCTAGTAACCCCCATTAACTACTAGACCCTCAAATCTTGGAGGAGGTCAGAGCAATCTTGTCTTGTTCCCAGG